GACGCCACAATGAACTTCTTCCATAGCTATGTCGGCCTCGTCCTGGTGCAGGCACCGGAGGAGAGTGCCATTGTAGGACCGTTTGTAGAGTTTGCCATCTTCGATGGTGTAGCTTGGGGCCCTGAGTTTGGCAAGTTTGGCCCTCTCCTCGTCCGGGGGCAGCTCCCCCGCTGTGATGAAGGTGGCGATGTCGGAGATCCAGTCCTCTGGTCGCTGTTGGACGCACAAGACGGGGCTGGCATGGATGCTGGACATGCTCAACTCCTCGATCTTGGCCAACTGGGAGATGTGCTCCGGGGTGTCCGAGCTGAGTTTGGAGAGGATGTCGGCCTCGGCGTTCTCGGCCCTTGGGATCTGAGTGATCTCGTGGGTTTCAAACGCTTTCAGCAACTCCTCCGCCGCTTGTTTGTACTGCTTCATCCGGCCTTCCTTTGCTCCGTACGATCCCTCCACCTGGCCCACTACCAGTTTGGAGTCGCACTTGATTTTGAGGTGTTTGGCCTTGAGGCCGGCTGCGAGTCTGACAAGTAGCGCCGCTTCTGTTTGACAGGCGCGGAGGCCGGATCGACGGTCAGCCGGTGAGTGATCACCTGGCGGCTGATGCCTGGCATATCGTCCGGGGCCCACGCGAAGACAACGGCGTATGACCGTAGGACGAGGAGGATGGTGTCTCGTTGGTCCTGGGGGAGTTGCTTTCCGACTCTGAGAACCCGCTCCGGCCGGGAGGTATCCAGAGGGATTTCCTCGACCTCCTCGGCCGGCTCCGCATGTGGCCTCTCCTCGTTCATGGCGACGGCGGCCGTGATGGTGTCTATCCTCTGGCCTTCCCTCTCGGCCGGCCTCGTCAGTTTGAGGTAGCATGCCCTGGCTATCCTCTAGTTTCCTCTGGCGTAGCCGATGCCGTCGTTGGTGGGGAACTTCAGGCACAAGTGCTTCATGGAGATGATGGCCTCCAAGTCCTCCAGCGCTGGCCGGCCCAAGATCAGGTTGTGGGCGCACTGGAGGTTGACCACCATGAACTCCATGTCAATTCTGGCGTGGTGGGGGCCGTCACCGACCTCTACGGGGAGGACTATCGTGCCCTCGGCGTCGATAGAGTCCCCGGTGAGGCCGGATAACGGTGTCTTGATCGGGTTCAGCAGGGCTCTGTCCAGCTTCAGCTGCTTGAAGGTGTCCAGGTACATCACGTTGACGGAGCTCCCCGTATCGATGTAAGTACGGTGGATGATGGAGTCACCGATCTCACATCGGATGACGAGGGCGTCCCTGTGTGATTCCGTACCCGGAGGCATATCCTTGTCGGTGAAGGTGATCGCCTCCGTTCGCTGCTTCTTCGGCTGGGGGGGGGGGGGACGTGGGACACCTCCCCAATGTAAAGGGATTGGGCCCATTTCTTTCTCTGAGTGGCGGAGTCCCCCCCAGTGTTCCCACCTACGATGAGGTGGATGTGATTCTTCTTCGGCGGGGGCTCTTCGAAGTCCTCATCGTCGCTGAGCCTACCAATCTCCCGCTTCTTCGTAGAGGGTTCGCCCCCATGTTTGCCGGTGTTTACCCAAGTGTTCTTGCGTGGGCCACCTTTGACAAACTGGGAGAGTTCCCCCTGGCAAAGAAACGAGAGAAGGGTGTGGGTCGGGAGTCATACTCTTCTCCATTTTCTTCTCTCCATTTAGGGGATGTCCCCAACACGGATTTTAAAAGATTTTAATGGAGTTTAGAATTCCATCCAAATCCAGGTGTTCTCAATTTAGATTTCTATAAAGTCTATAAAAATCCGGTTGTTCTCAAACATTCCATGGAAATTGCTTATTGATTATTTTGATGGACTTTGATAGACTTTGTGGACTTTTGGGCCAAAAAAATTGAATAACCCATTCTACTAACAATCTCACTTCTACCCCTTGGATTTCCAAATCCATTTTAAAAAACTGCGCACACCTACGGTCATTCTCCCGCACAGACGACACACCCTTCCAACTACACTCACTTCCATCTTCCATCTTCAATTCCTAAACTCCATTCTTACGGCCATTCAAGCTCCCGCATTCTGGAATAAGATGGTTTCACATTCCAGAAGTTCGTGCTCCTGCATAATTGCCTAATAGAGAAGGAAGGAAGCAGAACGCATTAAAAAGAATTTCTCGTGAAGAGGGAAGAAGTGTTGGAGTGAAGTTTCTTATCACAATGACCATTGTTATTGACTGACGGATTCTTGGGGTTTCTTGATTTTCTGTAGTGAGAGTAACGGAAGTATCTTTTAAAAATGAATTTAAAATTTCTTATCGTTAACATTTCCCGATGAATTAAAAAAAAAGAACAAATAATTTTTTAATCAAAGTATTACGACGACTTTTTCGTCGGTGGTTTGCAGCGGCTGAGCAGATGTGGGGGCTGGGAATTAGGGTAGGGGTTTGCACCGGCTTGTATTTCAAATCTATTAAAATCCATTGAAATCCATATGATTCCATGAAATAGAATTCCATAGAATTTTATAAGAATCTCATTAAATCTGTAGAATTCCATTAAAATCCATAGAATCTACAATCCTTTAAAATCTAGAATTTCACTCTATCTCTCCTTAAAAATAATAAAACTGGCTACATTATACATGGCGCAGAAAAAAGGAAAAAATAAAGAAAATAAAATATATAAAGTGAATACACGTGGCTGCCAAATGGGTATTGTAACCGGCCGATCAGAATAAAACTGGCTACATTATACATTTGAAAGTTTTTCTAAAGTTTAAGGGTTTAATTGAACGTTTTTAGGTTCGGAGGTTTAATCATCAGTTTTCCCATTAAAAATGGAGGGGTTTTACGAATAATAAAGGCAGTTTTTTCTTCTTCAAAAACATTAATAAAACAAACGAGTTTTTTCCGAATTAATGGTAAATAAAAAAGTATTTACAAATTAAGGTCGGGTTAAAACTATTTATCAAAATATTGCTGAGTTAAACTATGGTAGATCAAAATGGTCAAATGAAGTGGCGACCTTGAAGTAGCCAAGACTTTAAAATAAGGGTTTTTAAAAAAAAATATTAATAAAATAAAATTTATTTACACAAATATAACTAATAGTTACTACAATGTAATGTCATGCTAACTTAAATATAAAAATTGAACATACATTACTATAATTCCATTACTATTCTAGTTAATAGTCACAATTTTATGAATAATCATTATGTTAGTCATATATGTGTAATTACTTCTTGAAATAATCTCTATGAAGATTGGAAAATAAGCCTTCAATTTTTTTTAAGTTTATATATCCAATAATAGTGTCAAAAGAAAGATAATAAAAAATTATGAATTTTGATAGATTTTTTATAAACAATGGAGCAAAGAAGAAAAAGTTAAGGACCTTTAAAGAAAAAAAGATCCGCGGATTTTTTTATCACGCGGCTCATATTATTTCTTTCTTTTTGTTGCCTTAGCTCCCCGGTCCGTACTTCGCATGAGAGACTGGCCAAACACATCACCGACTCCAAAGTCGTCATTTCATTCGACGACTTTGATTTACAATGATTAAACTCTAACATTATTTTGGTAAATAGTTTTAATCCGGTCTTAATTTCGTAAATACCTTTTTATTTAATATTTATTCAGAAAAAACTCAAAATAAACTTATTTACACAAATATGACTAATAATCAATTGTGAAGCGATTAGTCAAACGTGAAATCAAAAATTTAACTTAAACAAAATAAGGGATTTTCCCAAAAAATTGAAAAATGGAGGGGTTTTATGAAGACTAAAGGCAGACTCATTGATACCTCAAAACACACAAACAATACGTTGGACAACTCCTTTGACTTGTTAAACTGACATAACTAACACTTTTAGGATTAGATGTAGAATTAGTCTCTCAAAGAATCAGGTAGCAATTCGCTAACCACTAAATGGGCAAATTATACGGCCTATATAAAGTCCAAGAAGAGATATTTGTCTAAAAGTTGACTATGAAGACCAAGAAGAGAGGCCTGCCCACCAGGATGGTAATTTGACCACAAAACCATACATTAGTTTGACTATGTCTAGTTTGACTTGTCTTTCTTAACAACTTTAAACATCTCAAGAACAATAAAAACAAAATCAAAGAAAAACTCTATAGAAAGAAAAAAAAGCTTAGGATAAAAATAGAACAAGAAATTACAACCATCTTCGAAACCCTAGTCATGCAGTCTCATACCATGGTTTAGGAGGGAAACGGGCCATCAAAACTATCTTCCTTGTTTATCTCATCATTTAGTCTTAGAATAATAATAACTTCAAATCTGCATTGTAACCCATGGACACCCGGACTATAGAGTAAGATTTCGGGCTTGGGTCTAGTATTAAACCCGAACTAGTCAATTCAAAATAGGGAGATTTCCCAAAATAGGAGTAAATGAAGATTGAAATTTCAAAATAGGACTACTTTGTTTTTATTCCCGAAATGGGACTAACATGACAATATTTACTGTCATCTTGTAGTCGTGACTGTCAAATAGTTGCAGTACAGTGCATTTAACATGACAATATTTATTATAATTAATGACAATATTTTTCAATCATGACTGTATTTTTCATACATGACAGTAATAACTCCTATTTCGGGAAGAAAAACATGACAGTAATAACTCCTAATTCCAAATGTCATTTGCTCCTATTTTGGTTAATTTCCCGAAGTCAGTTCAGTATGCTTTTTTCGATTTTGAGTCAGGTTTAAATAACATTATTGATAGCCAAGACATAACAATAGGACGTTATTTAAAATGTCCAAGAAACCCCCCAATGCAGTTTATAACTTGCAAGAAACGTCCATAAATAAGGCATCATTTATAACTTGACCACAAAACAATACAAACTCAAATGAAATGAAATACTTTAAAGCCAAGGCATCACTACTTTCTTGGCGTGTTAGGATCTTCAATCCTTCTTTCACGTTTAAAATTAGACTACGTTAAATACATACATATACATATACATATATATATATATATGTGTGTGTGTGTATTATATATAAATACACACAAACACAAATACACAATAGATTCTTGAAATAGCTAAAATAGAAAAATACATTAGTTTGACTATGTCTACAAAATCTCCGTTTTCTTTTATGAACGTCAGAAGTTTGGCCGTGTTGCTTCAGCAGTACTATCGGGTAAGCCGCGGTGGAGTAACTGTTCCGTCAAATTTACCGTCTGGCCGTCCTAATCATTACATGAACCCGGGATTAAGGCTGTTCGGTAATAGCACCGAAGATTCTAGTTCAAATCCCAAACCTGAACCGTAATTTTCTACAAAGTTTATTTATCTTCAGGAATTTTTCACCTCACCGCTCGGTAATTTTTGGCCTTAACTTTCTTTTTGTCTTGTTAAATGCAGGCTGAAGAATGATTCTGGCAAGATAGTAGTAAATGACACGGCATCATATTCTAAAATTTTAACTTGGTATATTTCCACTCTCGGCTGCTTGATAATTTAAATTTTAAATAACTAAATAAGATTAAGTTCGTAGCAGGGCCGTTTTTTAGGGGTTTATTAGGTTATCCAGAATGGCCCCTGGATTTACGGGATCCAAATTTTAAAAAACTTTTTTAGTACTCCTTGGGATAATAATATTAGAATGGGCACTTCCAATTAAATACCTTGGGATACCTTTGGCCCCAAGGTATCCAAGGTATTTAATTGGAAATGCAACAAGTTCTATTCTACAAGGTATTTTTAATAACTTTTTTAGAATGGGCCGTTTTTTAGGGGTTCGTAGTATTATATAATAATATTATATATTGATACTAATCAGTGAAATACAATTAATTAAGAAGCAAAATATTGATTCATCATTTTTTGTTAGTCCTTTCACTCTTTTAGTTCTCTTTTAATAAGTATTCAATTGATTTCAATATACGTATTAAGGATTGAGTTTGTTTTAACTTTTAATATTTATGTGGGTCTCGATTTTACATTTAGAATCGGAGCCTTCAAATTCATGACGGCGTGAGGTTCTTAGCTACTTGATTAATTCAATTGAAAAGGAAGATAGTCTTTAAAATTTTGCAGGGCAAAATGGATCATGGGGTCCATGTTGACAGTAATTTTCCCATTTTTCAAGTGCAAGGTAAACGACATCCAAAAGATAGAAGGTTAGTTGTTAATTTGTTATACGAAGTGATTAATTTTATGTTAGGCACGGTCACGGTTGAGACCTTATCTCAACACTACGCTAACAGGAGCCCCATAAGCCAAAGCCATTTGAGGAATAAGACCACTTGCAGGAGTAGAGATTAAGAGTCCAAAGTCTTAAATTTAGAGATTTTTGACTTCTAATTTGATGTAGTGGGGATAAAAAATGGGGATTAAAAGTGAAAAACGTGATAGAGGGTTTCAAATTTAGAGAGAAAAGAAAAAGAAAAGGGCAAGGGGAAGGGGGCGGGACGGTGCATGCATGGAAAATGGGGAAGGAAAAGGGGGCGTTATCCCTGCGTCATTTTTTGGAAAGTTCCTGAATGATGGATAATTGATACCCATATCCTATAACTAAAGAGATTTGAACAAGAGTGTAGTAGAGAAGGAGAGATAAGTGTGTATAGAATCAATATTGGTTGTTGTTCAATAGTCTCCTTGTGGACATATAAAAGTTATTACTTAAAATTTGTTTCACACTCCTATAAGGAGTATATATAGAGAAAATTCGGGTCTGGGCCTCTGATCTAATATTGACCTGACAAACCCGGTTACATAAATGGACTGATAGTACAAAAAACTAATCTAGAACATCTGAATAATAATAATAATAATAATAATAATAATAATAATAATAATAATAATAATAATAATAATGTACAATAATATGAATGATATCCGCTAAACGTGTGTGGGCCGCTGTCCAGGCCCAGTAGTCGGCAGACCGGGGGGTCGGAGTCCATATACTCCATCAGGAGTCCCCCATTGCCTGAGTCGAGAGTACTCAAGGCGAAAGGGAGTAGTCCAAACTGTATCTGCAACGTTCTTCGGTCTTTGATTTCTTCCTCTCCGGTCGGGGACCACCACCCTTGTCCATGATGGGGAGGTGCCTCGTTAAAAACCTTTACTAGGGAAAAACCCAGTGGGAAAAAATCCTAATAAAGGGGAAAAAGTACATCTAGCGCCCCCAACATAAAACAAGGAATGTAAGTCTTCTCCGACTTGATCAATCTAGCTCAGCTCCTCTTCAACTGACTCGGCTCTCATTTCTGCTCATGCGTGATATTTTCTGCTCATCTAGAAACTCTGAACCTTTATTCTCCAGTCCCTCACTCCTTGAGGCGAGTGGAGACGAGACGAAAATGAGTAAAGTCATCTTCGTACCTACACATTTAACATAAATAATTTTTTTCTTGGGGTTAATGTTTCCGTTCGGGAGTTCGTCACTTTAAAAAAGTTCAAATGTGAATTGCTAATGTAATGATAAAATACTTAGTAGAGTGGATGTGTGAGCCATTCGTACGCAACAGTCGTCACTCTTGGAATAACTAAGACCGGTCTTCATGCCCGACTTGGTCGGGGCTTTGTGCCTGACTTGGTCAGGGCTTTAAATCCTAGTGATGGGTCTCAAGTTCCAGTCTACTAGGCATTTGATCATAATTGTGTGATAGTTTGAACATTCGCCCGACAAAAAATAAATCATCATTTCATCATTTTCATTTACCCCATTGCCGCAAAGGCTCCCACCTACGGTGGGGTAAGGGGGGGGTCGGATGTACGCAGTCTTACCCCTGTACTAAAGCACAGAGAGACTGTTTCCGGATGACCCATAGTGAAAATCCCGTCCAAAATTGCATGGACTGACTGCTGCTTCATGACAAAGAAGCGCAAACAGTTTAGTGAGCCATTTTGCTTTATTCCATCATAATCTCAAGCCAAAAAATAATGAATCTTTGGCTCCATTGCAAATGATGGAAAGCGACAAAAAATAAATGATTTAAATAAATATAAATAATATGAAAATTAAAGAGTACTTATGTTTTGATGGGCTAAAATATATTGGTGTTGTCGAATTGTTGGCCCATTAGTTCTGAACATCAATTTTCGGATTGAAGCCGTTTGGCCCGCTGATTTAGAACTTGGCTTCTAGAAATGGGCTGGAATAAGATGCTCTCTTTACAGCCTTTTGAAAATACTGTAGGCTTTGTGTTGATTCCTAACATCTGTTGAGCCCTGTCTCCGTAGCTGCCTCGAAGAGAAGCCATTGCACATCCCATTGGAGTTTGACCTAGCCCTTTGCCTGCTTTCTCATTTGGCAAGCAGCCAGCCTTGCCTACGATGACCAATACCCCAAAGCCGCGCACAATTGCTTTAGCTTGTCCATGGGAGGGGACCAACAATGAGGATAGCCAATGGGAGGCCCTCAGACAGTACCAGCAGCGACGAAGCTTCCTCGAACGAAGACTGATGCCTTCCTCCGATGGACCCGGCGGCAGAGCAAAATTGACCAGGAGCAAGCTCACCTCTTGTGGCGCCGGAGAAGCTTCCTCGGGCGGAGACTGACGGCTTTCGCACGTGGATTCGGCGACTGAGCAAAAAACGACCGGGAGCGGCTTGCTAGCTCTCCTGTAGCTCCGGCGAAGCTTCCTCAGCCCCGACGACGACTGATATATAAGTTGGGTCAGCAGGGGAGTTCTGATTTGTTACTTTTGGAGCTCCTGGCGGCCACTAATGGAGGCCGTTCGAGGTTGAGCTCCAACAATCATCGGGAATAAAGAGGTGGAGCGTGGCGGAAGGCGCTGACAAAGAGGCAGCGGACACTAGCTCATGGCATCCACCAACGGTGATATTCCAGCTCACCGGCTCAGATCTTCCCAGCCTTGAACGGCCCACGCGATTTTGAGGCTGGCTTTGGCCCACGAACAGAGCTTGCCAACAACCATTAATGGCGGACACAACTCGTGAAGTTAGAGAGAGTTGTGGCCGGTGAGGGAACTGCGACGGGGGCAGGTGAACGAGCTAAAAATGACCGGAGGATGTGTCACGCCGGAGGAGGACTAAGCTGCACTTTGCACGTCGGACTAGGCCGAACTTGATCCCTCCTTTGCTACTCCATTTACTTCAGTTCCGTTCTGGCCAGAACTGCTCCAAATCTGGACCATTCCAGATTCCTTTTTCTTGCATTTTCACAAAGATCTTGACTGATTTTTTGTGATTGAGAAGATTTTTTGTTTTTTGGGGAGGTTTTCTCACTTGATTGTGTTCAAACCTCTCAACGAGAGCACCATTTGATGGATAATTGATACCCATATCCTATAACTAAAGAGATTTGAACATGAGTGTAGTAGAGAAGAAGATAAGTGTGTATAGAAACAATATTGGTTGTTGTTCAATAGCCTCCTATAAGGAGTATATATAGAGAAAATCCGGGTATGGGTCTCTAATATTGGCCTGACAGATCCGGTTACATAAATGGACTGATAGTACAAAAAACTAATCTAGAACATCTGAATAATAATAATGTACATGCAATAATATGAATGATATTCGCTAAACGTGTGTGAGCTGCTATCCAGGCCCAGTAGTCGGCAGACCGGGGGGTCGGAGTCCATATACTCCATCACCGAAATAGGACTAAAATAGTTTCAAAATTCCAAAATAGGACTGTCATGTTTTTTATTCCCAATATAGGACTAATTACTGCCATGTTTAGAAAATAGTGCCATGTTTGAAGTCTGATATTGCCAAAACATGACAGTAATTAGTCCTATTTTGGGAATAAAAACATGACAGTTCTATTTTAGAATATTCAAAGTGTTTTAGTCCTATTTTGGGTAATATCTCTTTTTTTTAAAGAGGGCTTATATTATATCATCAAAACCTTGGAGATCAACAACCAAACAAGCACCCCTAACTCGGTCACCAATCATGAGATTAGACATAGAATTATTCGTGCTAGAAAAAGCACCATAATTCGATAACCACTTAATGAGCAATTTAAAATCTATTATGACGAGAAAGAAGAATTTGTCATTCAAAACACCCACTACCTATCTCCAGAAAACAACCAAAGTATCATACATCTAGTATCACGACTACGAAAAATAAAAGTATAAAAGAAAAAGAGAAAATCGCATATATGGTCCCTTAATTATTCACGAAATTAAAATCTCAGACCTGTATTTCAGAGATTGTAAATGTCACCCCTCAATTGTCCAAATATTGTAAATGTGGTCCTTTTGAGGAATGAAATATACAATGTGGGCGACACTACATTTCACCACTTAAAAGACCACATTTACAAAAATTTGGACAATTGAGGGGTGACATTTACAATCTCAGAAATACAAGTCCGAGATTTTAATTTCGAGGATAACTGAGACACCGTATATGCGATTTCCCCAAAGAAAAAAGAATCCGACATTGTCTGAACATGAAAATAGATCTAGGAAAAATAAGTGATCCAATACACGCAGCGAAGCTTCAAAATCCCCCCTGCAAGCCTGTCACCCAGAGCTCGTCCAACCCTTTTTTCCGGCATCAGATTCCAGCTCCAACATCATGTACCTTTCAACAATCTTCACCTCGTTCACCAGACGGTGTTTTTGCTCCTCCACATGCATTTCTCCTTGTTGCTTTGAAATGCTTCTGGAATCACAATTAGAAACCTACTGCAACACATGCACACCTTCTCTTGCTACACCCCGGAAGCGAAACAACAACAATCAATCAAATAAACAACCAAATCAAAATGTCGAGCCATCCTTTCTACCAAAGGGGACCAAAGCATGAGCGATCTGGAAGAGAATCCTCTCGCCACATCATTCGACCTTCCAGCCATCTCCTGCTCAAACGCAATCGACGAGCTGCTTAACCTTCCCGTCCATCTCTCCTTTAGATCCGAGACTATCCCTGCGGCATTTTAACCCCAAACTTATTTATTCTTCAAAATTTTTAAAAAAATATCAAAATTTGTGAATTTTTTGTGATGAAAATCTGTGAATTTTTATGATCTTTCATATGAGACCAATATATATATAATATAAAGTGAAAAACAAATCCGATGTTTTAACTGTTGAAGTTTTCTCAAGTCCAAAAAACATGAAATACGAATTTTTAATTCATGGAGCTGATGAATAAATCCACGAATACTTTAATCTTCATATTGAAATTATCTAGAGAAATAACTGAGCGGAAGCGTATCGGCTGACTCCATTGAAGATGATCTTTAGAGATCCGAGAGACAGAGGCTAGGGTTTACGTCTTCTAGTTGATACACACCGTCGAGATTATCTCTCTAGCGATGGGATGCAGAAAGACGGAATGATGTGTTCAACTAGAGACCATAAACCCTCTATTTATAGAGAATGCCTAACCCTAATCATCCCATCATTAATTAGGTTAAGCGCATGAGTCTCTAAACATTTGGGCCCTATACTTTATTAGATACTCCGTAACATATTAGCCCACTTAAATTAATATCCATAGGACCACTAATTTTTTAGCCTAAATTCAAGATAGCATATACTTGTAACATACAATTAAACTCAATAAATAATATATTGTGAATATTACATGTAGTATAAGTCCAATAATCTAACATGAGCCTCTATAAATAACATAATATTACATTATCTCACTATAATTTTTATGACAGCTGAAAAGCGTAAAAACAAAAAAATTAACGACAATGCTCAAATAAACTCATACTACCTACAATATTCACACATGATTTAATAGAATGTTTAGAAGAGAATATGATAAATATCAAACTTTACTTGAACTAAGTTCAATTTTAGTTAAACGAAAACTTTAATTTTTTTTAATGAAATTCATATTTTTTTACATCAAAATGTGCATTTTTTATTTCATGATTATTCTAAGAAATTTTTAAAGGAAAAAAACTGCTTATATTAATTTAGTTAATGTTCTACCAAATTGATATGTACAAAAATATGATGAGTGTAATTTATTGATAGTACATGTTAAATGCAGAGAAAAATAGTATTGGAAGAGTCTAAACACAATTTCATATTGACGGAGTCCACATTTAACATTTTAGATGCACTGCCACTACAAATGGTCTTGATCATTTATTGATGAAACTTTAGGAGCATGTTCTTCGTTATATTTAGATTATCTCCTTAAAATTTGAACTGAATAATTCAATCAGAAGTCAGTTAAATAAATTTTTTTTTAAAAAACGTGCTTTATACGTATATATAAATCAGGAAATTAACTAACTAATTTAAGAGATGAAAATACTAATTGTGTATAAGCCTAATTGTTAAATTGCTAAAAGCATAAAGCCAATTAGCAATTCTATAAAATTTAATTGATGCTCCCTAATCTGTATAGGAGTATAGGTTGTACAATACAACTTGGGTTGTAAACGAATCGAATCGAATAGTATAAGTGACGATATTTTTTGTATTGTAAACTGGGGTTTTAATTTTAATATTTATTCAAAATGGATAATCTATATGTCTCTACATTGTCACAGGAGAGGTGGAAGGAGTGGTACAGGACGTGGAGGAGGTGGCAGAGGTGGTGGAAAAGGTGGCAACCACCGTAGAGTATGTCACGGGAGTGGTGGCAGATAAGATTCCGGCGAATTCGAATCTAAAAGAAGCAGTTGAGGTTGTAGAACATGCATCTGCCAAAGTTGCCGAGGATGCACATTCCATAACTACTTTCATCCATAAGGTATGTATGTATATAGGTCTAATTTGGTGTTGGTAGCTAATCAAAACGAGGCATAATTCATTTTTTAAAGTGACACTTGGTGGACAAAATTTCATCATCATCTCAGTGTCGCGAACTCTCATCTACGATGTGCTGGGTGTGTTTTGGAAAAACGAAAAACTATTAATTAATAAAAATAATTAATTAATTAATTAAATAGCTAAAGAAAACAGAAAAAGAGATGGGACAGAGTTTAGTCTGAGCTCGTACTACGCACGATGTCCTTAAAACGTATTCGTCGCCTCCCACGATGTTAGGAGCGTTGCAACGACCGTTTCCCATGATACAGTGGCTAACAAACGATCGTTTGAGCACACAAACGAAAGTCCCGGCGAACTGGAACAATAGCAGAACACTTGGGAAATTTTCTGAGAGCTGAAGGTGTTTTGAGAGCGAAAATACGTGTATGATACTGTATGAACGTGTGTTTGTTGCAAACCACCTGCCAGCCATTTTTAGGAGGATTCGTTGTGTGTTAAATGGGGTGTTAATGGACCTGAATGTTGGACATCAATGACCAGTCCGTTGGGCATTGAATCGTCCATAAACTGTCCATTTAACGCAGCATTAAAAGAGAAGAACGTTGGACATTTATTGTTGTAACGGACCAGAAGACCTTCTGGTGCGAACAGAATACCTCACCAGAACACCTCGAGGTGAGGTGTTCTGGTCTGAAGCCAACAGAAGACCCCAATGCCTTCTGTCCGGAAGCCAGCAGAAACACTCAGAAGAGAAAGTGGAGCAGTTCTGGAAAAAATAAAACGTTACGGGAAGAACCCAAAATTAGACCGTATCTTTGAATGATAGATTTTTCAGACGACATTCGTGTCCTTACACACGAGTCGCAGTTTTTCTTCTCCGTTTCGGGATTTGATCGGCACCCTCCTGCGCGTAAGAGAGAGTTTTTACCTTTAGGGTTCTTAACTCCTTAAAAGAGGCTTCCCTTTATAAGGGGGTGAAAATCCCTTGAGTTTTCCGGTGTGGGATAAAACACACTAGAAACCCATCATTTTCCCAGTTTTTTCCATTTCAACGAGTGAACTTCGAGAATCAATTTCCCATTCACCCGTTATCCGTTTTGAGTGTACCACATATCGAAATGTAGCCCTTAACAAGGACAATCAGAAACCACTTTAACCCGACCCAAATCGGAAGTGGATCCCACTCAAATAATTGCCCCAAAATGACCATTTAATGTAATTTTTAACCCATTTTTCTAACACGATGTACTAAGGGGGTGAACAAACTCTACGCTTGTTATTGATATTAGTAATTAATAACAAGCCCGATCCTACACATATCATAATAAAGACACTACCCCGATCCTACACATATCATAGAAAAAATATACTCCGTCACTGATATTAGTAATTAATGGTCCTCAAGGGGTAAGGCTATTAGCCTATTATTATCATACCTCAACCATTAAAAAATCTAGATTTTCACTGTGAATATGTTATACATTCTGCATATTAATTTTGCATGTGTTAATAAAACATTACTTATATTCTTAAAGATACTTATTTTCAAAATGTTGCGGATAATTTTGACTGTAAAAATACCACACTTAGATGCAAAAGAATTAAAACGTGGATACTTTGTCTACTTTTTTTGGTTCTCGAATAAGAATACTTATAAATGTATGGAATTATTAAAACACAATTAATAATTACATGTTCACTTTGTTTAAAAAATGAGGCACATATTAACTTGACCTTTTCATTTCATTGACTTTTTCTGTCTTTTCTCATGCTTTATGAGCCCTTGTATATATGGAGTCCTTCTATACACGCCCAATGGCTGGGATGTTATTTACACGGCAGGTTTTGTTTGTTCATAGACACTCTTTTCGATCTCTATAATTGTCTCATTTTTCATTTTTTGATGTTCCTCTATTATTGTTGATTTGTTTTATACCATATTTGGTAATATTTATATGGATCTAATTCATTCTCACTTTATCAACTCATTTTCAACAAAATATTGCTACTTTCAAAGTGAATTATTTAAGCTACAAATGAATTTGTTTTCTTTTTTGGGAAGAAGAAGGCTTATATCGATATCATAACATGTAGATAGGGAATAAACAGATAAAAGAATCACACCCAACCGTCTGCCCTCAAATCGGATTCAGAGTCAACCATGTTCCAGTAAACAATATGACTCGTTCATTCTGTAATGAACATAACTGAGTCAAATGCGGTTAAAACAAACCTCTCATCACCGATTCTGACACAGAACAATAAAAAACAATAACGACAATCTGACTAAAGCAAAAAATAAAAGCAAAGAAATAATTTTTGGATTTTAGCTGCTTCCCCAACGATTTTTTTTTTCCTAATGAAAAAGATTTGTGTACAAAACGAAACTGGACGTGTAAGGCTTCGGCGTGTGCGAGAAGTCACTTTGTTGTCTTTTCCTTTCTTACATTGTACGAAGAAGGGTAAATATGGGGTCGGTTTTCCCACTCGAATATGTAGTCCTTCTGGCTTCTTTGATATTACCTGGGTTCCTATTTTAACTTCCAAATGTGTTTGACACAAAATTTAAGATAGTGAATATTGTGTGGTGGAGAGTTATGCAGAGGAGAGAGAAATGTGTAAGAAATGTTGTGAACCACAAATTCTTTACCAAAAAGAGAAAGTGGAAATTTTAATTGGAACGGAAGAAAAAGGAAAGTTGGAAGTTTATTTAGGAACGGAGGGAGTACTTGGAAGTACATGAATAGTTTAGGCATTAATCTATTCACACTAGTCGTGCAACTACCCCTAAAATAACCATATATGGACGTTTATGTTGTTTAAAGATGCATTCTTTTGGACTGTTTGAGCCGCAGACTAGATCAAATTAGATTTGATCAGACTTTCGTAGTTATAAAATACACATAAACCAATGTTTACTTGACCAGATCAGACCAGACTAGACACAAAATTTTGTCCAAAACAAACATCCTAAACTACCCTGCCGTTTCTAAACCCAAACTAAACAATCTATTCTCCACTACCCCTATTTCATTTTGCACCGAAAACTAGAAGTTAATCAAGCGGTGAGAATTTTGTCATTGGTGATTAAGCCCAAATATGATATAGTGGCTTCAGGCCTAATGATGATGTCCGACGATTTGATATCTTGTCCTCTTCGATCATATCCGACGATTTTACTCTGCCACTCCGTCACTTATTCGACCATATCCGATAGCTTTGAGGTCAAAAAAAGATGACACCTCGTTAAGACCCTCAATCCTGATCGGACGATACGTTGAGAGGATTTAAGTTCGACTATAATCACAATCTGACAGATAGAGAGTGAGACTATGTCCCCGATACTTGCAGAGGTCATATACATTTTTGATAGCTTTGAGGTCCATGAACAGGAGCTGGGGAGAATTCAAAGCAACTAAAAATTCCTTCAAATTTTGTCTAACTTGTTTTGGATATTTCATTAATTTTTTCATTTTCCAGTAATTTTTTTTGTTCCACTTATTTTTGTCTGCTATGTAAAAACTTCAAACTCACACTTTTTAATTTATTAATCTCCGTGTCGGTCAAAATTGACAAAATTTTAAGGAACAGAGGAGAAAGTGTGAAATTCGATAATAATGGTTTCGCCGCGCTAGTCGAACCGCATGTGGTGGCTTGAAATTTGGATGGATGGAAAAGGTTTCATTTTATAAAGTGTTGGTAAATGTAAGGAAAAAAAAAAAGAATTGCCCTGTATAATTGGAGAATTTAGAGAAGCACTTTGGGTGAGTATTTTTAAATTTGTTTGAAATTTTCTGGTACGATATTGTACGATCTATTCTTGTCTTGCTTGATCTAGTCTAGTTATTTTGATTGGTATAATCTAGTCTAGTTATTATTGAAAAGAGATCATATATGTTGATTCTAATGATTCTAATCCATATATGTTACTACCTCCGTTCACATTTTAACTTCCAAATGGGTTTGGCACAAAGTTTAAGATAGTGAATATTGTGTGGTGGAGAGTTGTGAAGAAGAGAGAGAAATGTGTAAGAAATGTTGTGAACCACAAATTCTTTACCAAAAAGGGAAAGTGGAAATTTTAATTGGAACGGACGAAAAAGGAAAGTTGAAAGTTTATTTAGGAACGGAGGGAGTATTATTTAAATATTTCGTCTCAATTTGGTAAAAATTGAGATACTAGTAAAAGAGTACTCTATGATGTTAAAGAAGAAGAATGCTTCAAGAGCTTATCAGAACTTTACATTTTTTAACTAATACTCCCTCCGTCCCGTTGGAATGTTCCCGCTTTCCTTTTTTGGATGTCCCGTTGGAAAGTTTCCATTTCCCTATATGGAAAGTTATCCTAAATCAAAACAGGGTCAAACAGTGCAAAACAGTGTCAAACAGTGTCGAAACAGTGCCAAATAGTGTCAAAACAGTAAAATTTACCTCATGGTAAGTTTATTTCCTTAATATGTGTGTAAGGCAAACCGGGAACATTCCAACGGGACGGAGGGAGTAAATTATAATATGGTAAAAAAAACTAATTAGGTGAATTAGAAATTACAATTTTATTAAATACTACGTATTCTATTTTGTTTATTGAAACAATGGCATAAGTATTATAACCTTTTGAAAGACAAAAATAACACCAACTTTAGTTTAGGACAAAAAAATGATTAAAATTAAATGAAATGACTGAACTGTCCTAGAACCCTAATCCCAATTGCTGCTTCCATCTCGTTCAACCCCAGATAGCGAGCCACCTATTGCAAATTTGTAATGAAACTATGGAGCTTTAAAGACGACGATGAAGCTAAGCGAAGATGACGGGATCTGCGTCGCCGTTGCAGCTTCTCCCCCGGTGATTCAACTAGTCTCTACTCTCTACTCCTTCTCTTTTCTTCTCGCCTAGACCCCTATCGCTGCCCTCTCAAGCCGGTGACGAAGACCATCAATCGTTGCTTCGCTGCCGCACTCATCTGCTAAATTCGCGGCTGCAGTGCATCAGTGGTTGGGATTTTGGATCTAGGTGGCGGCTGATTTGTGTGGTGAGGTGCGGTGGTTGAGCAGGGGCGGATAGTGACGGGGTGGCATCTCCGATGAGGTCGAATCCAGGCAATGGCTGATTAAATCCATTGAATCCGACGATTAATTGTTGTGAATCTTCTTCTCACGTCGCCTCTCCTTGTTGCGGTTGCTACGCCGCCGTGATTCTCGCCATTGCTGCAACTCCTCTTTTCTTCTCCTTTCTTCTCGGCCGCAACCCTACCAGTGCCCTCACAATCCAGCGACAAAGACCAGACCAACGGTTCAAGGATGGTCGACGCTATATTTCAGATCTAATCTCCTCTAGGAATTCTGGTTAGTGGCGACCATGATTGTGCGGAAGTGGAGCAGTGGTTAGCCGGTGGAAGGTAGCTGCGGGTTGTAGCAGTGGATGGGGATGGATCGGCGGCGACAGTGGTAGCAGGTGGACAGGGAGGGCCCCCAATTGCCGGTGGGAGCAGCAGTGGCAGGGGGGTTGGGGGTTTGGGTTAGCTTTTCGGGGGAGGATGGGCGGCTGTCCAGATGGAGGTGGTGGTGTAGTTACTATGACGATGTCCCAATAGCCGGAGGTGGCATATCACTGTGGCCGGCCGGAGTTGATGTGTCAATGTGACCGGAGTTGACTTGTCACTGTGATCGTAGTCGTCATATCACTGTGGCGCTGTCACTGGCAGCGGTGTCACCGGCGACAGTGTCACTTAGGCGGTGTCACCGACGACGGTGTAACTATTACTGATGTCACTGAGAAGGTGTGTCACCGTGGATGTTGTCACCGGAGTTTGGCTTTGGGGATAATTTAGTAAATTTAATGCTTATTAGTCATATTTTTGGAAATTTTAAAAAAATGTCATTTTTTGTTAATTATCCACTTTTTAGTAATATTGAGGTCAAAACTCTTGTTTATTTGTGATGATAATTTGGCAGGTGGAAGTTGTGAAGGAAGACCTAAAGAATTTGGAGATGATCGAGCCAGCTCGTTTACGAGAAAAGATCAACGAGGAGTTTGTCGACGACAAATTGAAAAAGGAAGTGGCAGTTACACCAAGTGGACTATAATAGTAAAAACTGATTAATTACCCTATGTAAACACTATATTTTTCACGTACTACATAATTGTACCAAGTAAATAATACTACTTATTTCATAACATTTTATTCATGGTTTTTATAATAAATAACTCCTTATAAGTTATAAACACGAGCTAATTTAACGCAAATACTGATTACAGCCTACTCAATAGAACTAATCCTTCACGTGTGGTTCAATTTTTATGCTTTAGAAGTTTTAGGTGCACTTCTCATGGGAGACATTTTGATGCATACTCCCTCCGTCCCCTTTTAAATGTCCCATTTTACTATATTGGGATGTCCCTATTTAATTGTCTCATACCTTATTTAGTAAAAGTGGTTAAAAAAAGTGGGAGTATTCTAAAAAGAGGAATTGTCTTAGCCAGGAGTAAAAGTGGTTAAAAATTGTTAAATAGTACGGAGTAGTCCATAATTTATAGGGAGTATTTCTAAAATACTTCTTAAATAAGACTAAGAATTACATTTGAACTCTTAATATATTAATTTCCCTCTAGTTCCCCAACATACCCAGGAAAGTCTGGTGGCTGCGGCAATTTTGCGACAGCGATTGTCCGGCGACCTGCAGTGCTCTGGTGGCTGGTGGCATAGACAATATATGCAATAACCAAGTTTGAATTAAAAAAGAAGAGTTTGTCAAGTTCAGAGTGAATTATTCAAATGACAAGAGTTTCAAAAGTTATAGGATTAACCATTTTTGTCAACATTTTGTTTTGGGAAGATCATTTTTGTCAACATTAAGTGACCTAATATGTTTGACCAACTTAAAAAACGTATACGCAAAAATTAAATATATTTATAATCATAACCTTATCACTTCATCATATATATTGTAATATAGTGGGACGAATGCAATAATATCACATTTGGATAGAATGTTTATTACAACCTTAAATTTGTCAACCTCATAACAAAATTTCTAAGCAATATGTTAAGATCTTGCGTCCATCTTAAAAGATCAACCTGATAGGAGGAGTAACTCGGATCTTAATATAGTGTTAACACAATATAACCCTATTAGGGAGTTAGCGGCTATCTCAGCTAGTAGGTTTCTGCCACGCCACCTCATGGTGATAAGCCGCCCATCTCGGCTACTTCGGTCATGCCATCTCCAAATGATGTGCCGCCAACCTCTGACGCAGCAAACACATTCCGCTGCTTTGGGACAGGGACATCGAGATGGGTTCCTCTTGTACGTCTCAAAGATTTTGTTACTCAAACTATATTTAAAAGCAGTCCATTTCTCGTACCTTATGTTTCATCACCCTCTTCATGTACATTGTTTCCTATAACTCATTGTGTTACTTGTGATAAATTTTCTTCGAGACATATTGCTTACTTGACAGGTCTTGATTATGTTACGGAGCTCCGAAATTTTCATGATGTCATCAAACATGATGGATGGCGTCAGGCCATGCGTACAGAAATGGCTGCTCTTGAAAAGAATTCTACTTGGAGCCTTGTTCCCTTACCTCCTGGTAAACGTGCCTTAGGATGCTGATGTGTGTTGAACAATTCTGATTATGCACGATTATCTGTTGAGGCTGAATATGCTTTTGAGCGATTCTGATTAATTTAGGATTCGGTTAGTTTGTGTTAGTTCCGTAGTTTTTTTTTTGAAAATATAGGATCAATTTTTTATATTAAAATCGAGACAAGAAACAAGATAACATCGAGATAGTTATGACAGATCAGATTATAAGCTCTGGGAATAGGATGTGTTGGTTGAACAACTTCAACCAACACACCCTGAATCATGCAAAATAGGGTGTGTTGGTTGAACAACTTCAACCAACACACCGTGAACAATGCATTTGCCACATAATGAGATGACATGTTACAAAAAAAAGTATTTAGTGATTTAATAGTTGACCGTAGCGGTAATGCCTTATTTCAAAACGCTAACCTCAAATTGTTGTTGTTTGCAGTAATTTTATTTCACCAATTCCAACAACATTGCTAGAGTCGGACAACTATATGCTAAACAAGATGGATCAACATTTGCATTGATTGAAACACACCAAAAAATGGTCAAACCACTTTTTTGCACTCAAATACGATTTTCCAAATGCTCCCTTTAATTACTTATATTATGCGGAGTAGTATATTTTATTTTTTGCTTAAGTAATCCCACATATTTACTAACCATTACCTATTTATTCTACCCAGATCAATTTTGTACTGTTATCGTAACATTCGCAATCAAATGCCATGAGCTTTCCTGTTCCAACATACAATGAACCTATTTTAACTAACATGCTCATAAGTAGAAAATAAAAATAATAATAAAATTAAACCATAAAGAATAATGAATCACATACACATCAATTTTTAAAATCCCCTATCTCATTTAACAAGAAAATATGAATAAAAATTTTATTTTTTTAAATATAAAAATGTTATTATTTTTTTTGAAAAGCAAAGCAGCATTATTAAGAATCTGAGGAATCGTTCAACAGGAGTTCACGAATACATAAAGGTGGAATATTAAACCAAGAACAATCACACTCTAGAATAGTTTGTTTAGTTAGAGCATCGACAACCTTATTTTTTGATCGTTGCACACAGTGGACAGAAATATCGGCGATGCTCGTCATTATGTGTCTAATATCATCTGCAAGAGTGGCGCATAGGAAAGACCAATCAGATCCAGGACCCCACAAACTGTCGTATGTGCATCCAACTCAATGATAACCTTTGACCACCCTTCTTCCTCAACCCATTGCACTGCTACCCCAATAGCTATTAATTCCGTAGTAATTTGAAAGAAGCTCCCCGCACACTTAAATCTCCGCCCTGCCACGAACTTCCCGTGCTCATCACGGGCTACCATACCCACCCCTCTAGTAAGGTTGTTCAAATCAAATGCCCCATCAACATTAACTTTAATATAACCCCTTGGCGGGCAGCTCCACTTCATCGGCTCTTGTTTAATTAGGCTCTACTCCCTTGTATGTAGTTCTTTCCATCCCTGTAGCACTGTCATACCTACACTCTCCATGCCCCACCATCCAATACTTTTTTCCACCTAGTCATATCATTTTTTGTTTTCCATATAAGCTCCAACATTGCATAACAAACTCGCTAGCTTCCTCCTTTTTTAGTCGTTTATGATATCACCCGCCCATAATGCAGTAGTATTTCCTTCTTGCGTGTTCGCCCTTTTATTCCACCACAACTCCTATGCTAGAGGGCAGTCCCACAATGTATGTATAGTTGTTTCTAGTTGCTCTCTACACATCAGGCAACCTAGGTGCATTGGAACCCTCCTCTGCAACAGACGGTCCTTCGTGGGAAGGTACCTTGAACATGCATGCCAAAACAATGTTTTAACTTTGGGGGGAATATGAAGATTCCACATGCGCATCCAGCTCGAGACAGCTAAGCGGTCCAGTACTCTCCTCGCTTGTCCAGTACCCACGTCAGCCCGTCTAGCCTCTCCCGTAGACTAAGCGGTATATGAAGAATTTCTTGTTTATCCTACTCCTAGAAAATGTTATTCAAAATATCAATATCCACATATTTCCCATCTATCATTAACACATAGCTTACCCGAATATCCTCTAACCCTACGGAGGTACAGTTTCTGGATGCCCTCCCCCCACGGTATGTGGCAGGCACCGGTCTCCCTACACTTGGACGTTCCTCCCATGACCAATCCGATAGTAGACGCCTATACGCACTACCGGAATCGCTTCAGCAATGCTCCGCCAAATCAGTGATGGGTTGCTTCCCAGTCCTGCCACCTAGCTAGCACATGTGTATGGGGGAATTGAAGAAGCTTGCTTTGAGAAGGTTACCACCTTCGCCTCCGATTGCTTTATAATCTTCCATACATGTTTTCTCAACATAGCAATATTAAAATCACACAACCTTCTAAACTTAATTCCTCCCTTTTTTGGCCAGGACATCTCATCCCAATTTTTCAATCTGATCCCCTTTCTTTTATGCACTAGTCCTTGCCACCAGTACCCATTCATTTCTCGTTCAATATCTTTACACATCTCAACTGGAAGCAAGAAAATATTCATAGCATAAAAGTGTTATTAAAAAGTTCTATAAATAATTCACGATCTCTATTTAAATTACAATTTTGAATCACATTAACATGACACAACCGGAGCATGCCCCGGGTGTTATACTAGTTCAGATTATACCTCATCTTAAGATATGTAGTACAATTGTTTTTATCATATTTAAATCACTCTAATTATGTTTAAGGTGGTGTATTGTATATGAATTAAGGTGGATTTTTTAATTCATGAACTTTTAAAATAGTCCATAGACTTTTTATGAACAAATTGTGCTGAATTGCATATATTCATGGATAAATCATAGACTTTTAACAAAAGTCCATAGACTTTTAAATCCAGACCACCACAACCGATTGCCCGAATCCCCCCAAGACCATCACCAACGCTATAATTTGCCGTCGGAATTCGCTAACGTCACCAATGGGTAGTAATGTAATGTTTAGTCCTATATGTGGTACAAGCATACGTACAATCGGGCTTTTCTTCTTAATAACTGTTTTCTTATACTTTCTAGCTTCTTAAAATTTCTTCGCCTATTTACAGTTGTTGAGGTATATTATCCCAGCCTGTTACTGTCCAGGAGCCCAATACCTTACCCGAGTACAGAGCCCGAATGATGAAGCACAATTCAGCCTATCAGGCCTGGTTTGGCCTTTTGGGCCCATTAGGGTAGAAATGCTCCCCTCCCCCTTTTGGGGATCCCTTTTTTGGTTGGTCTCTTCTTCCTCACTTCCTCCCCCTTTTCTCTAGAATAGTTAGCTAGTAACCTCCATTAATGGAAGCTACATACTTGTACTATGTAAATGGTGAGGAGAGCCTAATCAGAATGAGAGTGGCTTGGACATTAGCCTAAACAGTCCCGTGGTTTTCTCCCTTTCCGGGTTTCCACGTAAAAATCATTGTTTATACTACCTCCGTCCCTTAAAAGTTTTCCAAAGTTGACCAGCACGGAGAATAATAAAGTAAAAAATGTGTGGTTGAGATTTGTGCAGAGGAGAGAGAAATGACAGAAACCACAAAATAATTGATTAAAAGGGAAAGTGGTAAAGTTTTTTGGGACGTCGCAAAAAGGAAAAATGGCAAAGTTTTAAGGGACGGAGGGAGTATTTTGTTATCATCAACATTCTATGAAACCCTCCCGGAAGGGGTGTTGAACTTCCGGGCTGCGGCGAATAAACTCAACACTGGCGCTATCTGTGGGAACAGTTCAAAAAGATTCACGTGTTCTTGAATTTCTACCAAAAATCCATACGAAATGGACTGTTTTCAACAACAAATAATGTGACTATGAAAGGACTAACAGCTGCATTCAAGGGAAGGAGGAAGCGGGCTGGTATCAAATTGGTGAGTAGGGAAGCCATTCTCGGGCAGGGCAACCGACCCACTGTATGAGCAAACTACAGACTTTTCGCTACCAAAATACAAGCCCGAGGATAGATTAGAAGGGTCGAAGCGCCGAACTCGTATCTCCATTCTCTCCCAAAACTGGGCCTTTCCAGACGCTTTCTTCTCACCGGCTCTGGCTACCGCTCATCTCGGACCATCGACGGCACCCACGGACCTTCGATGGACCGTTCTTGGTGGATGAACGGCTTTTGGATTTCGATGATGCTCGGTGAGAGGACTTATCGTAGGAGAGGATATTTCCCTCTCAAATGACGCCAGGCACAGGAAGTCCAAATGGGGTATGGAAACATGGGCCAGATCTTTTATTCTAAGCGGGCTAGATCAAATTAAAAGGTTTGGGCACATACAGTAGCAACTAGAGGTGGTTGGATAGCAAACGAGCAAGTTTATGGAGAATTTTGACCAAGTCAAAAAAAAAGAAAGAGGGATCCCATATCATTTCACGATACACTCAGTTCGTTGAGCCCTGCTTCAAAAGCTAAGTCACAACTCAGTTCTCCATTCCAAATTAATTTATGTTAAAATAGTACGGGGTATTATTTCTATTGTTTCTCATCCCCATTATTTAATCGGGATTAAATGTCCCGATATTAAGTAACGTCGAGCGAAGCTCTTGTGGTAAATTGGATCGTTATTTTTAAACTAGGTGATGAGCCGAGTTGAGGGTCATCATACCCCTAGGCCGATGGTCTCGCCCGGAAGTGCCCTAGGTCAACATACATAAAAAAGGTTTGGGTGTACACATATGCATATTGTCTAGCCATTTGGCTACGTTACTATGTTCACTGTGCAGATAAAGATCATGATTGGGACGACCGATAATAGATTAATCGTAGTGGAGACGAGCATCCTCCATCCAAAGACCGAGGGTCTTGAGAAGACCTTCAGAGGCCAAGAACTTGGGGACGAACATCTTCACCCCGGAGGTTGATCCAGAGGCCGAGGGTCCCAAGAAGACCATCAAGGCCAAGGTTCTGAAGAAGAGCATCTTCACTCTGGAGGCCAAGAGACTCAAGGTGACCATCACGGCCAAGGGTCTGGAGACGAGCATCCTCATCAAAAAAAATAGAGGGGCATCGGGAAATCCCAAGGAATAAACATATTCTTCACCAAGTGCCGTTGATTGAAGACCGGCCTTGTCCCTGCTCCTCTCAGATGAGGACCGTTAATTGATTCTTGTAGATCGGCCCCTAGAACCGACATCATTTCATGGCCACGGACCCCCTGGTACGGTGCCATCATCATATTTGAAGACCGACCTCGTCCTCGCTCCTCGCGGATGAGGACCGTTGATTGATTCTCAGAGATCGACCTCAGTGCCGACATCATCATATGTCCATTGACCCCCTGTTACGGTGTCATCATCATATTTGAAGACAAGCCTCGTCTCCGCTCCTCACGGGTGAGGACCGTTAATTGATTCTTTCAGACCGGCCCCAGCACCGACCCCCTAGTACGGTGTCATCATCACATTCAAAGACCCCTCAAAAAAATATAGATGGACACCGGGGAATCCTCAAAAGGATAAACCCGTTTCCCATCAAAATCGTGGCCGAGCTCAGCCTAGGATCCTAAGGAAGGAATGGTGAACCTTCAAAATTGCTTGGTTGAACCTTTATATTTTGTTTTTCTGATCTCACTTTCTCATGAACATCCTTTGTGCGAGATACACTAGCTTGGCAGATGGGGCTAGAAATCAGTGGCACTATGACCTTATCTGCCTTAGCAAATCTGGTGCTAGGCTTTACAGAAGGCTCACCTGATTCAGTTGAGCCATATCCAAGACCAAAACCAACACCACCTTGTTGATCAAGTACTAACCTTTCCATGGAAGACTGGGTCTTATATACGGAACGAGACAAGTTCTATATATATTCGAGACGCTACCAGTACTTTGATTTTGTAAAGAATGAGTACTTTGAGATAATTGTCCCATACCATCTTGTGCTCTAGTTTGCAAAAAAAAAACATCTTCGAAAGTACGTACTCTAGTTTACTAGGAGATTAGTTTTAGTGAAAACTAGTGGCAGGATACAGAGGCGGAATCAGGGGAGCGAGCCGGTTCCGGTGCCACCCCGGTCTTCGCCGGAGTAGTCTAGGTATCTATATATCCTTTTGTTGTCGGTGCCCCTAAATGTTTCATCGTTTTCAATCAACGAGAGGTGGCAAACCTGTCTACTCGGTAGTAAACGACATCCGAGTATCCAAATATTAAAATTTAAATAGTTAAATACATCAGAAATATTCAATCAGTGCAAATGTTAATTATTATATGAATCTATTATTCTATAATTTGGTAGGTTAAGCATTTCAAAATTTCTAATACCGAATTTAGAGTCATCATCGAAAAATTCTACTCATTTTGAATCCAACTTACCGTAATTTTCAGCAAGTACTAGTAGTCATTCATGATATACATATAGAGCCAATTGGGAAGAGTCGATATCCTCTTCTCCATGATTAGTCCTAGGGGTGGGCGTGGTCCGGTAAATTAGTAAAACCCGTTATGTATCCATGCGGTCTTTAACGGTCCGGTACAGTCCGGTTCCAAGGATAGAACCGTTCGGTGCCATGTTGTTTTCGGAACGGTACAAACGGTACGGTACAATGCCAAGCACATGCTAAAAATTTTGAACAAATCTTGCAATTAGTAAATATCATCACACCAACCAAATCACATGAAATGTTGATATAAACACATGAAATTGCATACGTAGTACTAAAATTCACAAATACACAAAGAGTGCAACACAACTAAACAAAGTATAGCAAAACGATGATGCACGAAATAAATATTATCTTTAATTTACTAAGTTCATCTGAAAATATAAAAACGAATATCATCAAATTGTTGAATATAATAGAAATCTTCAACATTCTTCTTCTTCTTCTTCTTCTTCTTCTTCTTCATTCTAGGTTAAATATTACTACGTAGTTCTAATGTAATTTATAGTTGAACCTTGAGAGATAAGATTTAAACCATACTACCTCCGTCCCATTAGAAAGTTCCGGCCCACTATTCTCATGGTCAACTTAAATCATTTTTAATCCTTTACTTTATAAATCAAATTTTTATCAAATTTACATTTTTTTTATCAGGCTTTGTAGCAGTTTTAATGTAGTTTCTGAATATGTTAGTTTTATTTACTAAAAATAATCAGAGTGTGAGCAGGGATTAAGTTGCTTTATCGTCAGTCAAGCATCGTAAACCGTTCACGGGAACCTTCTACCAGGACGGAGGGAGTATTAATTAAGTTGTAAAAATTGTACAAATATGATACAACAAAAACTCATGTACACTACATTACTAGAAATGAATAGTCATTATTGATTTCTAAAATATTAATATTCTTTCAATACATACCAAAATATAACATAAATTATCTAAAAAGAAAAAATAACAATATATATAAACACACACATTTAGATACCTTAGGGACACATGAATATATACTTGGGCTATAAAATTGTTGGCCTATAAAAGAGATCTATTGGTATAGAAGAAATATAAAAATTTCAAATGCATTATTTTCGAACGGTTCGGTCCGGTATTTTCGGTTCTCAAAATCTAGGATCGGTCTCGTACAATTTCAAACGGTACGGGATAAAAATCTATAGAACCGTTTAAATACTCGTTATTCGGTTAGGTAGCATTACGGAACGGTTCGATACCGATTCGTTTCGGGTTTTATGCCCACCCCAAATTAGTCCTCTCTACCCACAATACCTCGATTATTAAACAAATTAAACTTTTTTAATCCTCACGTATTTTGTGTTCCACACAGAGGTGTAGTTAGGGAGGGGCTTATCTTGTCCCCAACCTAGTTCAAATTTAAAAAAGTTTGTATTTTTTATGTAAAATGTTTGATGTATTTTTTTCAAAAATATTTTTTGTACGGATCTATTCCGGCCCAGGGATATAGTTAGGGAGGGGCCAATCTTGTCTCCGCCATGTTTCCACATATTTAAATTTCAATTATTGGCGACCCACTCATAATAATCCTAACTAACGATTATTACAGAATAATCCTAATTTTAGAAACATTCCGCCAATAATGATCCTTATAAATAATCCCAAATTTTAATTTTTACACTTAATTTCTATTAAAAATTCGCTTGTTAGAACATGTAATATGCAATCATGGACCATTATTGACAGACGGTCCATATAGTTGGACCATTATTGTTAGCGAACCGAGGATTATTATTTTCAATACCAAGGATGGATCTTTCTCCCATTATGTAATAAACTATGGAGTACAAAATATACGGAGTAATTTGTTTGTATCTAAAAATCATGACATGGCAACCCAGCAGCAATCGCTCGGGCCCACACAATAATGCAATGATAAGCTCCATCCCAAACAAGATATCCTGGTAGACTGGGAATTTTAAAATCATGGTTAGTCAGTGGAAACCAACTTCACTCTCATTGAAAGAGATATTTATTTCTATTTTAAATATTGATATACGTACAATATATTTAATAATTCGTACTGTATATTCTATTCATTACATTGTTCAGGCAACAAGAGGATCCGGATCACGTTAGGTAAATCATAAAAAAGAAAAAAAAATAGATCATTAACAGACAAATTAACTAATCAAGCGTTTGGAATTTGCGTGTTTTTTCTGCATTTCATCACTAATGAAAGATTTTTTACTGTGGTAAATTCCCGAGCGACCTGACCCCACACTCCTAACCGGGTGAAATCATACTGGGGGCGAGCAGGTAGAACTTTTGGGGTCCCACATCGCCGGTATCAGGAACTTTCTCCCGTTCACTCCATACGCATTGAAGCTCGCGCCCGTGGATTTATCCACCAACACCTGCCCCGGGTAACCCGGGTATGCGCCCGACCCGAATATCCCCGTGCAGGCGGACACCGCCTCCAGCGGCAACGTGGCGACCCCCTCGAAATAGCCGTTTTTGTACGGATTCGTCACAGCTCCGGCCAAAACGGTGGCTACGTTGATGATCATTCCGTCAACTCCAACGTCTCCGTTAGGTGGAATGAGCGGCGGCGATTGTGGCCCGTAAACCGGCTGATGGAACGGCCAGGCGCAATAACCAGGGCACTGAGTCCCCGAGTTGCCCACCCATGCATAGACCGCCAGAGATTTCCCGCCAGACGACCCGTGGGTCCCGCACCTGTTCGAACAGAAACCGTCGACGTAAACGTCCGTCGCCGTCAGGACAAGGTTAACGGTTCCGGTCGAGTTCCCGCCCCAGGAAGCTATGTAAGGAAGCTGGTCGTTTTTAATTGACTTTCCCTGCGAGCAATTTTCGTCGAAGATTTGTTTCCCGACGGCAATATTTGAAGAGCCGCCGCCGCCGTATTTGCCCGTGATCTTCCACCAAGACGCGACGGAAGGCGAATTGGACTTCCACGAATTCAAGGACGTGAGGAAATCGACGATTGTAGACTGTTGCGCTGGGGAAAACTTCCCGTACCAGATGAGATTAACGGTAACGGTGCCCTTGAGAAGGACGCCGTTATGGTAATTCAACACGAGGGGCGGCTCCTGAACCAGACGGGCGGATGACGTGTGGAGCCCGGCGGCAAAGAAGCAGAGGAGGAGGGTGGTGGGAAGGGTAATAGCGTAATTTACAGCCATGGTGAAAGTGTGAAGAAGAAGGAATTGATGAGGGAAACTGTTTGAAGGATTGAGAGCAGGGCACGATTTTATAGGAGCGAGCAAGCGGTAATGGGTTGACATGTCAGCATCAATCTGTCCGCGTGGAGGTATGGTGGTGGGGACAGTCTTTTGCCAGGCTGGACGCATTTGCTGACATGGTGGAGACTTTGGCAAAGATAAGAAAACGCGCTGACCGTAGTTGTTCGAACGTCAGTTTCGGCTTCTTTAAGTCTGTACGTTTATTAATTTTACTTCTTCATTTATTGTTCATTCATTGTAATTAATACGGATTATGAAGTACTCCGGAGTAAATTGGACGTCTACGTTAAATTTCTAAACCGGGAATTATTCCAAAGGTTTTTAATTCATATCTATGATCAAACAGATAGGTCTGTGTCCATTATAAATCTCTGCAATTAAAGTTATGAATTGCCAATTCAAGTTGTATTTTTTGTAAATAAATTTTACTCCAACATTTACACTTAATTTTAAATGATTTTTTTCATTAAAATATCCAACTCCAACAAAGTACGGTGTATTTAAATCAATATAAAATTATAAATATAAATATAATACTCATTCCCTCCTGTTGGAAGGTTTCCGTTAGTAAATGACACAATTTTTTAGGTAAGCGTTTAAAATAAAATAGTTTGAGTAAAAGGAGAGATTTTTTTAGAAAAAGTAAACATATATAAAGTGAAAGTAATTAAAGGGAAATGAGTTGAGGGATTGTTAAACTTACATGTAATGAATAAGTCGAAAGAGAAATTTATGTAAAGATGTAATTAAAGAGAATAAATTATTTCTTCAATGAAAACTTTTAAAAGTGGGACACCAAAATAAAGAAAGTAAAAAAACGTTTGGACGAGACTAGTGAGTAATTTTCATTGTTCCAAAGGTGGAATCTCCCACCTCAGAAGCCCCCACCCCGATCTGACAGGATGCTGGGGAGCTTAGTCACGGTGACTCAGTAACCAGAATGACAGTAGGCCCATACACCCGTGCGCACCAGAGGCTCAGCCTTTTTTCAGGTTCTGTGACCTTCACCCGATCGCTGCGGGGATTCGAACATTGGTCCATTATTTCAAATCTCTCACCACTCGACCAACTGAGCTACCCGTGCGGGTTAGTGAGTAATTTTCATATCTTTAAAAAGTGCTAGGACATTTTTTGGCCATAAGCATTGACATGCAATAACCTTTTTTAAGGATGAATAATTTGGAAGATTTGGAGCAACCATGTGAGTCACCATAATGGAGAATTTTTATCAATCTGTGACGCAAGCGTTCAATCTTCAATTGAAGGTATCAATGATTTGTCCCCTCCTGAATCACCATAATGGAGTACCAAAATGAATCGCTCAGGATTCAAAATTGAGGGCTTCTGCTTAATTTTACATCAAATATTAAACAAATCCCATCAAACAATTTCTATCATTTTTTATTTTTGTGTTTTTTTTGTAATGGTGTTATGATATTTAGATTTACTATGATTGGAGTGATTGAGATTTCTAATGTCTATAATAGATTTGAAGCCTAGTATGTTTATTGAAAAACTTCACCCAATTTATGTTTGATAAAAAAGAGGAGATTTTTTAATTATTATGTGTCTAATGTAATAAGATTCACGATTTCCGTTTATGAATTAAATGTATTCTTCAAGAGTTGTAATGGAAGAATCAACATTCCTGTAGTAACATTTATATCTTCTTATTTCTAAATCTTCTCATCATACTTTCAATAATTTTGAAAATAAGATACTACTCCGAATAGTAACTATTGTTTTTATTTATTCTTCACTCCAGTTTACTCTTTCATTATATTCTCTTCATATTTTTAATCATTTATATCTCCTTTCACAATTTATAATTTCACCGACTTTTAAATAAGAAAATGTGAATAGATAATATTAGAATAATGTAAATTCCTTCGAACTCTATGACCGTACAAGTACACGTGCTTGAATACGGTTCGTCCTTCCCACCTTATATTGTTTAAGCGTACGATTAAATTTCAAAATACATGCTAAATTATTGGTTGAGAAATCTATAAGGAAGAGTTGAGACTTGAGAGCAATAATTCACTTTAGTATGGGTGTCCGGCCTGTGTGAAAGGGAATGAATACCTAGCCGTTACCGGTGCATATGTGAGATCTTGTGTTCGAAACCCGCTATGCATAAAGGGAAGATAAGTGAGGTCTCGCTCCCAACGATTGATTCTTGCTATCTTCACGGAGTTGCTCAACAACTAAGATGGAAGAGGATGGTAATGAAGGCATCAGGTTCGTGTGGTAGGAGGCTCCCTGGATTCAGCCTGATTGGTGCGCAGGTGATCGGAAATCCTGCTGGACTCGTCCTGTGGAACCAGTACCGACGATTATTAATAATTCCGGAGTACTCGTATATGGTATAGTTGGATCATAAAAAGAAGAATTAATTATCCTAAATAGAAGTCCATCTTGAATAAGATTAATTATCCCTAATCTGTTAATGAGTTTTCGTTGCTTGAAATCTTTAATGACTTATAATAAATTACATAAATATCTTAAATTCTTGAGATGTCTTTTATTGTTGGATTGATATTTTCTTTTTCTTTTATTGTTGATCTAATATTGCTGATTTATTAAGACTTAAACCAATTCAATTAAAAACATAGTTAACCATTTGCCCTACTATGAATCCAATTCGTAAGATGTACGGAGTATATTGTACGAACGATTAAGAATAACTCCGGAGTACTTCGTATATGGGAGATTCCACCTTTTGGACCAAGTATATGGTATAACGCTTTTGTTCGTCACTTCAATTCGTCAATGACTTAATAAATTCTTGGTATGTTGTAGTTGTCTATCACATTATTATTTCTAATCTCATAATTACAATTAAAATTCGGATGATTATGAAATGCTCGTTTCCTTTATGCTCTTCAACTTGTTTAATTATGATGTTTCACTGGTTTTTGTATTCGGTCGAAGAAATTACAAAATTTGATCATTATATAATACTACGTATATGTTGTTTGTACACAAATGTGATTCCAGCGTATATTATACGTAGTATATACAACGACCTCCTTTAAAATATCTTTTTGGTTCATTTTTGCCTCAAATAAAGTGTGAAAAGTGTTTTGGCTCTTCTGTGTCCACAAAAGATAGGAACAGCTTTATATTTATATTTACATAAAATAACGAAAAATTTGGCAATTAAATAGATGTTTTTAAATCATAGTTTTATGGGGTATAAATAAAGTATGAGATTTTTGTATATTCAATTTATTTTACGTTTTCAGTGAGATTTTTAGTTCAGGTCAGACTTAAATAATAACAGTACACACACATAATATACATTAGATTAGATCAGACTTAAATAAACATTAGAATTTTCCTTTCTAATAAGTGAACACATCCTTTATATGCTACTACGTACTTTGTACGATGGGTATGCATCTAATAAGGAATGCTCTATTCATTATATGCATTATAATAACTACACAAAACACGGAATTGACATAGACTTTTAGTAAGATTCACTAAAATTCATAGAGGAATAGACGGTGATATGCCAAATCCATGCAAATTAAAATCTGTATCAGTTAATCCCGTAATTTTTTTGTAATCAACTTAGAAAAATTTAATCATACTCCGTATGTTGAGTATCTTTGTTAAATGTTGTTTATCCGTACGTTTACGTGTGGGGTAGCATATTAAATTATTAATTAATAATTATACTTGAACACAATTTTCTCAAAGTATACCATCCATCAGGAGGATTGCCTGAATGATAAAGTAGTAAGTTTTATTTTAACTATAAAAAGAAAGTGGTGAGTAAGACGTAGAAACCTTTTTGAGAGTCATATATGGGCGGGCAGGACGGCGCTTGGATTTGTCATCCAGTTCACACTCTGTGTGTTTTTGTGAATTATGGCATTGCCAAAGCCGTATAAAGCTGGGATTTGTAAAGTTAAAAGCACATTATGACAATCAAATACAGACTGTATTGCATGGGAATATAGGACGGCTACAACCCTTCCCCCGTTCAAAGAGTAGTCCAATTGGATCAGGGATCACCTCTCATATATAGTATCCCCGTTCTTTAATACGGAGTAGTTATAACAATTTTAGTAAACATATAAAATTTGATATTTGTTTATTACGTTTAGTAAACAATTTTAGTAAACATAATTAAACATAATACGTAATTATATTTAATTACGTATTAGTAAACATTTAAAATTTGATATTTTTTTGAACGAGAAAATATTAATATTTTTGAAATTTACATTAATAGAAATTTAATAACATTTTATACATAATAATTTGATTATATATATTATTAGAAAATCGTAATCAAAGTAAGGTATGTGAATAATGCAAAAAGTCCAATGTTGTAACTTTTAAAGAATGGGTGAAGTATTTTTTGCCGCCTCTGCACCACCATCTCCAGTCACCGGGGGAAAAAAATTCCAAGTTCATTACGAATGCCAAATTTATGGCAGAAAACAAATGAAATGTTGCCATTCTCAAAGGGAAATATGCCATTTTTTGAAATTTTCAGAAAAAATAGCAGTTTTTAGGGAAAATGACATTTTTTCATCGACCGGAGATGGTGGTGCAAGGAGGTAGTACAGGCGGTGGGAAAGATATCCATATTTTTTAAAATTTTTTATGGAGTTTTACTATTTTTTTTTATTTAAAAAAAATTAAAAAATTAATTTTTTATTTTATAAATATTTTATAATTTTTTTAATTATTTTTCTACGAATTTTTGATTTTTTCGAATTTATTATGAATTAAACATTTAATTAATTCATATTTAAAGGAAGCGTAAGAATGGAATGACAAAATAGGTATGTTTCTAATAGGACTAATATGATCCTATTTTAAAAAGAAAAACATAATAAGTCCTATTTTGAGTTTTTGCAATAGGTTTAGTCCTATTTGGAGTAATTTCTATTATTTTTTCTAGTTTTCATTGTTGTGCATGTTTGGAATAGCACTATAGCAGTGTTAAAGTCACACACCGGATATATCTCTGTAAAACATATCCAGTGTTAGATTTTAACAGCTAAAGAGAAATTAATTAAAGATGGAAATTAAAAGTCTTTGTAGCCTTTCATTCTTTTTTCTCCCGTGATCGAATGGGAGGAAAATTCATTATTCTTTGTTAAGCGTCTTTATATCCTGCTTTAAAGTTGACAATCATTTGTATTTGTTCCGAAAGTTCAGTCGGCTACTCTGGATATTATAATGGTGATAACTTCGGTACCCATTTAAAAAATGGGGTACCGTACCTACCATTCATTTGATTGGTCCAAATAGGCATATCATTTTTAATTTAGACTTAAATAATTCAACTACAACACTTTCATCGGTCCATGTAGACAAAGGTATGGTACCTTATGGGTACCATAGAATCTACCTATTATAATATTGCAGCTTTACTTCCCTAAAAAATTACTACGTAGTAAATAAATTAAAATCAAGTAATAATCAACATATAAGTGTATTTATATGCATAAGATAGAGATAAACGATACCGCAATCCCAAAGATTTCTATGATCAAATAATAATAATAATAAATACGGAGTAATACGTAATAATAATAAATAAAGAAGGTTAAGAAACTAACTTAAATAGGAGCTAAGTTAATACTTAAATGGGAATAAAACATTTTTGTATCTATTTTGGAAATTTTCTCGTTATAATTATAATTATACGGAATAATAGTTTAAGAAAAGTAGTGCATTTGTGGAGAAAATTCGTGGAAGAAGTCAACAACGCCAATGAAATATGAACTCAGAATCGATGTTGGAGTCATTGAGATGACGAAAAGTGTTAAAATTCTCAAATTTCATATGTTGCCAAAAATGACACGGAACAATGACATGGAGACAAAAAACTTTTCTTATACTCGACAGTAACACATCTTAAAAATACTAAGGTTACACCGACATAAATATCCTCCCTATTAGATTAGACCATATATCATACTAAATCGAACGTATTCTCTCTTTCTTGTTTGATAAGTTTTTCATATTCGTCTTTTGAATTGCATCCAAGTTAAAGTTTTCGTAATTGTATTTTAACTAAGAAATCGTTAACATTCTTAAATGATAAATTAATCATCAAATAATAAAGATGATACACTTGTAACATTAAAGTCATCATCAATGATCTCATTATGTTATATACATGTCAAACTAATTTTCAAAATATACCTTATTTAATTATTAATAAAAAGTAGTGTAATTTTTCAATAAAAAGTTTAAATCAAGACGAAAACAATACTACCTCCATCCCGCAAAGAAGTTCTCAATTTCCTTTTATGGATGTCCCAAAAAGAAGTTCTCATTTCTATAAAAGGAAACCACTTTTAACCAAAAAGTCACAACTACTCTTACTTTTTACCCATTTTTTGTTTGATTTGACATAAAGTAAAAGTATACGTGGAAAGTCAAAACAAAACTCTACCCTATATAAATATGTGTGTAGGTCAAACTATGAACTTCTTTACGGGACGGAGGGAGTACTAGACTAGATTAAACAAGATCATGCTCATGTCAAGGGCATACATCATTCTTTATGAGAGGGTAAAAATGCGCTGATTTCTTAGCAAATATGGCTCATTCATATCCAAAAGTTATTACTCCCTCCGTCCTGAATTAATCATTTGGTTTTGACCTTCACACAGATTAAAAAAATGAATGTGACTTCACACTGTAGCGACAATTATTTCAGAACAGACCGAAAAGAAAAGCAGGACAATTATTTCGGGACGGAGGGAGTACTATTCTTGAAGAGGCATCGAAGGAGTTAGCTCGCTTCTTCGGGAGGACGAAAATGGACTCGAAATAATCAGACTAATAGACTACAGTCTTTGTTACTTTCCGTGCTTTTATTTTATGTTGTACCGCAAAATGATCTTATACCGAGTTATACATTTCCCTCTCATAAACTAAACATTTCCTGGCCACGACATGATGTCATCATCCACTAATCTTACAGCAGTGTATAAGCTATGCAAGTTCATATATAAATATATTGTATTCCTTTATTTTACAAAATGTATGACATCTCATGGTTGAAGGTTTATAGAATCGACTGAATAGCAATCTGACAGGATTTAAGTTGAGTTTTGATCTCACTCTAATGGAAATAGAGTGAAGTTTCATCTCAAATTATTGTTTGGAATTGACCCTGAGATCTCTGCATTGTGACACCCTCTTTCCGTCAGGTGAGTAACGCCCTGATTATTCCTTTACTTTATAGTTTATAGGGAAATTTACAATATTCATCCCGTAACTTTCGGCCGTTATCATTATTAGTCCCGTAACTTTAGTCACTTGCAAATTTGATCCTCTAACTAATTAATATTTGCGATTTAATTAGGACTTTTCCGCTGAAAAGTACACTTTCCGGCAATAGCATATCGGAAAAGATGTCGCCGACGTCGAACTTTTTCGCCGGAAAGTGTACTTTCCGGTGGGAAAGTCCTTAAATTACAAAGATTAATTAGTTACAGGACCAAATTTGCTAGTACTTAAAGTTACAGGACCGAAAGTTACATGACTAAAATTGCAAATCTCTCTAATTTATATAGTTTGCTCATGTGTATGTATATAATTTCCATATGGTTTCAAAACCATCAATTGAATTTTTCAGAGTTAATAATTAATCCGATGGTTGATAAGAGATTTAGGTGCCTAATAATAATGCATAGACTTATGTTCTATTATTCATTTATTTTGTAGAGTTTGCACAAATATACATACCATTCATTCAAGCTAACACCTAGCAATAAATATTAAGATAAGCAATAAATATTAAGATAAGTATCATGAGAATTTCCTCATCTTGTCACACGATTTATGTTTACGGTTACTTGTTTAATCTGTACCGGCCCTTGATAACAACAATTTGAATATCAGATAATAAATGAGAATCATGGTAAAGAAACAGATAATTTAGGTGTGTTTGAAAAATGACGTCGTAAAAACATAACGATTTGACCTTTTTAACATGTTCAATTCATGAAATGAAGATTCAAATTATATGGTAAATAGTTGTACGCAGTGGCGGATCCAGAAATAATATGTATTGGGGGCGTAATTTCAAAAATTTAAGCTGACAAAAAAATGATAGCTAGTGCATGTTTGGTAGGCATAAGTCTATATATTGTAGCTTTGGCATGACAATTTATAAGAGTTATTGTAGAAATAAAATATCTTTTTTAAGATGTTACGGTGAGTAGCATCCGAATTTTTTTTGTATCTTTTAGCATAAATTATTCTCAACAACTTGTATACCAAATAGAGCTAAATCAAACAACCAGATTTTTTTTCAAACAACTATCACTCTTTTCTTTTAAGTCATTAAAAGTTAGCAGTTACTAGAAAGCTCATAAAAATATCTTTTCAGCTAGTTGTGCCAAACATACCCTTAATCTAATCTGAGTTCTATTCGAAATGTTTTATTATATTGTATGCCACGAAAATATTTTATTAGAATATTAGATCCAATGAATTGATATTGACGTGTTTAAATAAACTTAGGTATGCTGAGGTTTTTTAAATAATTATAAAATAAAAAACAGGAAAGTTCCCCAAATAGGAGTAAACGGATTTTGGAATTTCAAGAAATGACTGCTATGTTTTTCTTCCCGAAATAGGATTAACGTGACAATATTTACTGTTATCTTGTGTTCTGTCAAATAGTTGCAGTATTAGGCATTAGACATGATAATATTTACTACTCTATAATATCATTAATGACAATATTTTCCAATCGTAGAAGTATTTTCAATAATGGCAGTAACGACACACACTTTTGAAGAAAAACATAATCATTCTATTTAGAATTCCAAAACTTATGTACTATTTAGGGGAATTTCCTATAAGAATTAGCTGATATTTATAAATAATAACATCAATAGCATGCAAGTCAAATTCAAATAAACTAATTACTAAATAAAAAAACTCATTTTAATTGCTATCATCATATTTTAAATTTACTATTTTGGAAACTAACTAAACTATTGACAATTTTTTCATATTTTTGTTGTCCTGTTAACATTTCTTTCAACCATTTATAACTCAAATAAGTTAATCATATATAGCAATAAATATCATCATAATCCTTCCTGTATAAAATTATTTTTGTTGGGGGCGACATAAACTTTTTAATGGGGGCAAGTCTTATTTTTCTACAAACAAAAAGTTTTCATATATATACATTTAGCTTCATAGTTATATTTTATTGGGGGCATGTGCCCCCATTACCCAATGCTTACATCCGCCCCTGGTTGTACGCTATAGTGTTTTTAGGCGAAAAAGCTAAAATGGAAACGATGCAATAATAGTTAAGTTATGAGATACGGAGTCGTACTGTTTTTTTGCATCTCGCCGACTCAATTCACTGGCCAAATCCGATAACAGGGTAATAATCTGCCAATGATTGATTGCGAAATAGGACCGGGATTTTGGAATCGGGAACCGAAAAAATGACCGGAACCGAACCGAACCGATATGAAACGATTCGGTTCGGTTCCTATTTTAGGGGTTAAAAACTTATCAGTTCGATTCTTAATGTATAATATCGGTTCGGTTCTCGGTTTTTCATAAAAATGTATTAGAAAAACCGATAGAGAACCGATAGTCCATTTTTAGCAGTTCGTATTTCGTAGCTAATAGCCCGTCAGTAGTGGGTTATCCGTATTTCATACGGAGTAATACGAAGTACAACTCGCCGCCCACGACTCCTTTAGTGAGTTAGTCCGCTTCAGTCTTCATCGGGTACAAGTACGACTCAAACGATTAGGAGGAAAACCCTAGCCACACCGATCATCTTCTAGCTACTCTGCTCAATGAATTTCATGGATTCATCAAAGCTTCCAAAGGAGAGCTCGTATACCGTAAGTAGTCTTCTCTTTCTCTCTGTATTTCTTTAATTCAAACTTTTGAATCTCCTGGCAAAACCAATGAAGGTTCTGAATAGATCTTGCCTTCTTATTTTGGTCAGCTGTTTTTCTATTCATATTGAGTCTTCTGTGTAGACTGTCCTGTTCCGGTGCTGCCTCCCACTTCCCAGTGCCCACTAGCCCTTCGTCAAAAGCAAAGAGAAGACACACTGTATGTAAATATCCGAAGCTATTTAATTTCCATTTCTTTTTCTATGATTGTAGTATTTGTTTTCAATTTTTCCATATGTGAACTACTGAATTATCAATTATGTCTCGTGTACAAAAAGATGTGTTTACTTAATCAAGCATAAAAAAGTAATAAAAAAACAAAAACAACTAAAATTAGAGAAGACCAGAGTTGAAGAACCCTAAAATGTTTGCTACTACTAGTCTACTATAGTAGTTAGGAATGCAATGAGTTTACTAAACTGTTTTTATCAAGTATATCAATGTTGAATATTATACGTAGCTTATTGAATTGTACTTATCAAAACTATGCATATAGAGTTCAAATTAGTTTATTTCAATTGGTACTTGAATTGGACCCTTGGTTGGTTGGGGTGACCATTAGCTTAGCCCTTTCAGTTGGTGGTATTTGGTGCATGGTCTAGTCTACTTTGGCTTCAAGCTTAAGTTCTTCAAGCCGCCTACCTAGTTCGAGAAAGAAAATATATGGCTTGTCAATATATGGTTTCATCAGATTTTCTCGCTAAAAGGTAAAATGTTGAATCTATTAAAATGGGTTGGTAAGAATGTTTGCATTTGCTTGGGCTTGTGTTTAAATGTAATATGACTAGATATTAGAATAATGTTCAACCTTTTCTCATCCATTTTCTTAAATTATGAATAGACAAGTGTTATAGTTCCTTGGTCAAAAAAGACATGTGTCACTTTTTAAGTGATTACCTAAGCTAATTAATGTGTTATAGCTCTCTGATTTTTGTTAGGAGACTTAATTGAACAATTTAACTTTCATGTTTCAATCAATCCTAGTTTTTACAATCCCGAACTTATAATTTTAAATTTGATGGTTATTTGAAATGGGATTATAATATGATCGATTTCTGTTTTGTGGTGTATGTTAACTTTTTTGTGGTGGGAATTGGCTGATTTTACTTTTTTAAGAACCGAAAAATGACAAGAACCGAACCGTTAACACTTGGTTCGGTTCCATAATGGTTCTAGATTTTTTTGATTGGAACCGAACCGATATAAAAAATTGTGTTTTTCTAAATGGTTCCTCCTTTTTTTAAGGGGAACCGAACCGGTCCCAGGCCTATTGCGAAATACTACCAGCCAAATGTCTACTTGAAAGTAACTAAATTATATGGAGTACGTAGCAGCATAGGCTCCGCATTAGCAGGATTAAAATAAGAATAATGATGTTTTTTACTTGGACTGTAATTTGCTGGTCTGATCTGGTCTGGTCTGGTCTGGTTTCTTTGTATTTTTATAACTATCCAAGTCTGGTCTGGTCTGGTTTGATCTGGTCTGATCTGGTCTTATCTGGGACGAATTACAGTCCAAGTAAAAACATCTTAAACATTCGACTATTATGATAAAATATAAGAATAAACATTCGACTAAATTATAGCATAGGCTCCGCATTAGAAGGGATAAAATCAGAATAAACATTCGACTATTAAAATAAGTATATGATGTGTTAAGATTGGGGGTTCCATTCTAAAAGGTGAACCTTATAGGAGTAGTAGCTCAATATCTTAATATAGTGTTTAATTCTTTCAGAGATATACGGTGTGAGACTTTAACACCCATCCTCACGACGAGACACTTCATCCGGATCATCTCGTCATTCATTTTTTTATCGATTCGTCATTGTCATTTTTTGTATTCGTATCGTCATTTTTCATAAGGGCTTCTGGGCCCACGCCATGGTTATGGATCAATTTGCCTCTGATACCATATTAAGATCTGAAATTACATCCTAAAGGATTAATCTTATAGCAGAAGTGGATCAGGTCTTTTAATTCTTTCAGAGATATCTGGTATA